TGCGCTCCAGCCTGACTGCGTTTTTATGACAGCATCAGCAAGGGTAAACAGACCTAAATCTGGCTGCAGTCTGCAGCGCGTCGCTGCTGCATGGCAGGAGAGAGAAATACTGGATTCTCCCTCACCTTGCTCTGCTTGCAAGAAAAAACGGCTTTAATGGGAGATAAGCTTAACATCTGGCTGCTTGGATGGAAAGTCTAAAGACATAAAGGCTGGTTTGATATTTCTGCAGTTCCGGAGAACAACTGTGGTTCTTTTTTTTGTGACTTCATGCCTTTGTCTGCGTCACGGCCTCCTGCAAGATGCAAACATAAGAGAGCTCACTTTGTGTCGCTTTTAATCTTTTTACTTTATTTCTTAAAGGGCCATTGTGTAAGAATTACTGCCATCTATCTGTGAAATGGGGGTATTTCAGTCAAAAGAACACCACATCACTGCCTTAAATACGTAAAGCGGCTACGGTAGCCGCCGTGTGTCAAAAAGAGATTTTTCCTTTCTCAATGCTGCAAACTGTAACGCATTACTAGTGTTATTGTGTAGGTAAAGATATATAATTATAAAATGTACAAATTCAGACACCTAAGGTTATGTTTTATAGACAGTTGGGCTGAAACAATCGGATTAATCGATTATTGAAATAATTCTAAACTAATTAGTAATTGATTAATCGTTAACTGGAGTATAGAGACTCTAAAACATGCCTTTAGCTGACGGAGGGACCCACATGCAGCAGTAATTATACCAAAATTGTAAAAAAAAAATGTGAACATTTTGCATTTTAGATAAACTTTTTCGTCTGTCAATTTGCTGTTTTTAAAATTCCTTGAGGGGAAAAGTTTGAGTTTTATCTGATTTGATTTCCCAAAAAACTTTCTTTAAATAATTTTTGGCTATCTGATTATTAATCGAACAGATTAATCGATTTGCAAAAAATCGTTCGTTGCTTCCCTAATAGAAAGATATTCAATCGCATGGTCTTCCAGCTGAGCTGCGCATCACTGCAGCTCCTCCAGAATAGCCGTGGACCTCTGTGCCTGTGCTTAGTGATAAACAACAACTGGTTACACTTGATTCCATTAAGCAATGTCAACATTACAGACAATGTTTGTAAAAATCTTTTATGACTAAACTGGACTCCATGGTTGCACATGATGGAGCGTCCAGGGCAGCAGCAAAAAGTTGTTGAAATCCATTCAAATCGTTGCAGCTTAATGATCGTTTTCACACAGATGCTTCAAACGATGACGGGTTCAGCCTCCTGAGAAGTTCATGCAGTGCTGTTCTTCCCTGGCTGCGTAGGTGCGAACAAGGTTCCCCAGTTTTTGTTTTTGTGTTTGTCTGTTTGTCTTGTCTTTTATGTTTCTCCCTTCCACCACCAGGAGGCGCCTGGCTCCGGTTCGCCTCCTCACACACCTGCAAGCTGTTACCTCATCACCGGACTGCTCTTAAGCTGCTGGTTGCCACTACTTCGATGCCAGAGTGTTTGCCAGTTTGGGGAAGCCTTCCTGCAAACTGGACTTTTTCGGACCGCCTTCTCCCAAGTGCGATCAACTGAGTCTAACACTGAGCAACGGATTCCAAACAAGAGGCTTTGGATCCAGCCACCTTTGAGCAAGCTGAGCTCTATCTCTGGGCCGGATTTATCAAGATCCAATTTTGCGTGCAGTAATTTGCGCTCGCAAACTGGAATTTTGCGCGAGGGGCTGAACCATGGTTTGCGGGTGATTTAACAAGAGCGATTGCGTAACTGTTGGCAGGTGGAAAACTGTTGGGAGACGCCCTATTTAAATGATGGTTTTGCGCGTTTTGTGGTTTGCGGCAAAGTAGTTTGTAGTTTGTGCAAACTAGTGCATTAATAAATTTTAAACTTACAATGACACCCCCACCCCCTCGAAAAAAAAAAAAAAAAAAAAAAAAAAAAAATATATATATATATATATATATATATATATATATATAAAACTTTGGCAACCTTTATTCCCTAAGGTGGTATGTGGCTGAATTTCTACTTCACTGCAGTAAAAAACAAACAAAAAAAACAAAAAAAACAGGTGTTTTGTATTGGCCTGTAGAAAAATTCACATACCAAATGGCTCACAAGAAGTGACTGTGGATGAGATTATTGCGCGTATGCATCCCCACAGCATTGGCATGTTGCTCCATAGGCGCAGGGGGGAGGTCGGGGTTCTCCGGTAGGGCGTCAGGGCGACATGGCATTTAGAACGTCGGACAGCAATTCTGAAAAACAAGATTGGGAGATCCCAGCTCTCGCTGCAACCGTACGCTGGAATGACCCAGATGCGAAAAACTGCAATGTTGCAAGGAGTTTTGTGATATCTGGTATTGCGTGGGTCCTCCTTGTGGCTGGCTCCAAATCCATTCGGAGTTCCCCCAACAGCCCCAAAATGGCAATGCTGGATAAACGATATGTTTTGATGATCGTTTCCTCGTTCATTCCACAAATATTCACACGGAGTGAAAAAATGCGTTCTCTGCGTCTCCTTGCTTCATTTCGATGTCTCCTTCTTGCGACAATAACCGCTGCCATGTGTGCGCAATTACGCATACAGACCATTTGCACCTTCTTTTGAAACGTGTTAAATATAGAGTCAGATACCGTTAGCAAAATTGCTTTCAGGTTTAATAAATCACTTTGCGAGTGCAAAATTAATATATTTACATGTTCTCCTCCCACAAGACGCACTTTTGTGTGTAAACGCCCCATATTGCTAACCTGACAACAGCCAGATGCATGTCTCGCTCCGTCCAGCTCCACCCACATACATCTGGGAACCCGCTCATTGAAAGTGATTTCCCCAACCGAATTTATGGTCTGTCCAATCAGGACGCAGGGCGGGTGTGTCCTGGAGTGGAGAAGCGACCGTGAGATTCCAACAACAATGGCGGCTCGCATTGAGGAAGCAAGCGTTAGCATTGAAGCTGCTATTTCTTCTGTGTTGTCCAATCTATCTGATATTGTTTCATCAAAAGAACATCAGAGAACGGCTTTGAAGGCTTTTGTTGGTGGAAACGATGTTTTCGCCCTTCTCCCGACCGGATTTGGCAAGAGCTTGATCTACCAAATGGCTCCTCCTCTCACAGCGTCATGGGTTAGCTTCGCTGTGAGTAGTTGAAATAGCACGTCAATAAAGATGACAGACAAGTGGCTTATCCAATCATATGCAATGAGTTTTGATAAGGCCCAGCCTTCAGTAAAGGCAATTCCTATGGCAGGTTCCCAGATGTATGTGAGTGGAGCTAGGCGTAACGAGACATGCATCTGGCTGTTGTCAGGTTACCATATTGCATATTCATTGCAGAAAAAGTGCTAAATGGATAAGAGGCGCTATTTAGCACGTTTTAAAGTCCAAATCCTTTTAGCACGCTGTTGATAGATCAGTTTGTACATTTTTTTGCGTGCGCAGTGAAATAGCTCACGTTTTTATACACGCAAACCTTTGATAGATCCGGCCCTCTGAGTAAGGAAGTCATCTTCACCACGACCCGTTCAAGTACCACAGGAAAACTGAGTTGCAACCAGTGGCTGCATCACTCCACTCCCTCCGAGTTCTGGGTAAACCCTGTTCCGCCCTCCACCGAATCAAACAAACCCTGGAAGACCAACACACAGACTGAAGTCTACGTGTCTCTTCTTCTCTGGAAACGTGAGTGGCAACAAATCCTCTCCTTCAAGATTTACAACTCCAATTTCCCACTGAGCCTGAATCTAACAATCTGTCTTCCCCTCGTCTTCCAGTTTCCGGCCGAGCAGAGTTCGGAGGAACTCTGCACCGAACTCAATATACTCTTCAATAAAACCCATTGAACTTTATACTGTGTCTCTCTGTTTGGCTTTGCTGCATGTGGGTCCGAGCCTTAGAAAAATCATGACAACCGGACTAAGCGGGAGAACATGGATGGATGATTAAATACCACTAATGGATGTTTAGTGATCAAAAATTACACTTCGTTATGTACCTGGGGTCCTGAAGAAGCTTATTTTAAATGTTTATACTTTTTCCAAGAGTAGATTTTGTAATGCAGTTACCTAGGAGTGATTTTAAAGAATTAATGAAGAATGTTATTGTCATCAACTTCATCGCTATCAAGATATAAGATAAATTATATCTTTCAGACAACAAGATTTTAGGGTTATATCTCCCAGGCCTGGACGTCTCTGCTGCAGCACCCTGTAAATCAGACGCTTTGACGCAGTTCGGTCTGAACGCGTCGTAAGGAGCCTAACGTTTACGATTTCTGTGCCAACACATATCATTTATTATTTAGAGATGTTTGTAGCATTATGTCTTTACTATAGGGGCCATAGCAGAGGTCAAGACCAGTTCTGCAGGGGTCCTGGCCCCTGTTGGCCCCCGTCTGGAACCACTCATGCTGGACGTAGTGAAAGCTGTTCTACTAGCTTCAGTTCTCTATATGCTAATAAAAGCAGCTCTATCTGGACTCTTTCTGAGCTTCTCCTGAGCTGATGAACATTTTGTGCAACACCAAAATTTGGTTTGTTGCATAACATTTAGGTAACTAAAACTTTTTGCAATAAATTAATCTGAACCTAATTATTCATTAATCACATAAATCTTTTTTTTTTTTTTACTTTTAGCTAAAGAAAGGAATGATGCAATGATGGAAAACAGTGTTAGTGTAGTTAGATGTAAAATTAGTGTTGCTGCACTCTCCTGAGATTATTGTTTTATTTGGGGTAATCCAGTTAACGTGAATGAAAAGACGTTTATAACCCTCGGTTTGTTTCTGGGGTCCAGCGGGCCTGAATCCTGCAGCTGGAAGCCGTCCACAGAAAGCTGCTCTGTGCACAGATGGCTGTAATTTGTGCAGGCAGTAAAACCTGAGCCACGCAGCTGCTTCTGTGTTAGCACATTTCTCAGTAGGGCGAAAACAAACAGATTATTCCACGACAGCGGAGCCGGGGATCTCTCCTCCCGCGGCGTTCTCCTCCCCAGCTGGAAATGGACTTCTAGGAAAAAGTTGAAGGCCGCCTCATGGCCAGAGGGGAATTTGGTTTCTGGTACCATGCGTCAAGCTTCCTACAGCTTCGATGCAAAGAGAAAAAAGACAAAAAGAAGCAGATATTGATGAAAATCATGTGTAGATCATATTTCTTTCTCTTCACAGTCGGTCCTCACCTCATCAACTGTGTCTCCAACAACATGGAGACCTTCCGCTGCAGATGGAGCGTCGGGTCCTTCCAGAACCTCTCAGAACCGAGGGACCTGCGCTTGTTCTACTTCAACAGAATGTAAGAATCCTCTCCACTAATACCCAAACCTGTTTTCCTCTTCTTAACCCCTTATGGACGACTGAAGCTCAACAGCTAAATACCAGCTACAGTCTAAATATAGCCAACAGGATTATGTTTAATACAATTACTGTTTATACATATACCTCTGATGCTGAGGACACCATAAAGAGTATTTTAATATCAGTTAGTTTTTGGGAATGCGAAATATAAACATCCATTCAAGAGGAAGGATGTGAGACTGCATAAAGTTTATCTGGTAACTTCTGTAAAGCGGGTTGTATAATAGAGTTTTTTCTCAGAATTCTGACTTTTAATCTCAGAGTTCTGACTGAATTCTGACAATAAAAAAAGTCAGAATTCAGACTTTTTTCTCAGAATTCTGACTTTTTTTTATTGTCAGAATTCAGTCAGAATTCTGAGATTAAAATCAGAATTCTGAGAAAAAATTCAGAATTCTGACTTTTTTCCCATACTAAACTGAAATTAAATTTAAAAAGGCCCTAATCCTCTTCCGTAGAAAACAAATACAGATTCATTGATTATTTTTATTTTTTTTACAACTGATATATATTTAAACTTAAAAATATCGCCCAAAATTCTGAAAGTTATTTCTGATTTTGGGTTTGAAGGTTTTAGCTTTACCATACAATTAAGGAATTAAGATTAGAGAAAGTAGTAAATGAAATATTATACATATAATTTGGTTATGATATGAAATTATATGTTTAATATTCATTTCACATGATTTATCACTGTTTCATATTTTTAAATTATATATATTTATTTATATATATATATATATATATATATATATATATATATATATATATATATATATATATATATATATATATCATGATTATTAAAAATTATTTCACTATGTTAAATCATGTTAAATGCATATTAAACATATAATTTCATATCATAGCAAAAGATTAATGAATGAAAAATCGAAATAAGAGCTCCCAGGACCAGACAGAAAAGTTTTAGATTTTTGGCTGGATTTGAAACACTATGTAAGAAAAATTGGTAGTTTAAAAAAATGTTTTGTGTTTTTAACGTATGTTTTTGCAAAGAAAGGTATAGAAGCTCCTATTAAAGTGCAGTAAAGTCATTTTACAACATCTCTGCTAAATTTGAAACATTTCAATACTGAAAACATAACTTTTGTTCAAAGACACATGTAGGCCAATTTCTAACACCGTTTTCTTATTGCATCAAAAGCGCCTAACGGCCCCTGGGACTGTGAAGCGAGTCAACTTTCCACAACATTAAAAGGCTAAGACAAAAAAAAATACATATTCCAGTTTTATTAATTTGTTATATAAGCAAACAGCATTAACATATATCAAAATAGTGAAATTCTGAGTTATTCCTTAGATGCCTACTGTGGCTAATTAGCCTCATACCTAAATGTACCCTGATTATATTTGCAATGTTGATAAAATAACCTTTATTTACTATAAAATCTGATTGACAGCAAAGAAAATGTTGAACAACCGTTAATGGATTCAGGGCTTTAAAGGGTCAACATGTAGAATGTTGTAAATAAATAATCAGGTGCAAAAACCATGCATTAGGTTGTGGTTTTACAGCTGAAGCATGGCTAAAACGTGACTTTGAGGACGACTCAGATGATAAAATCTCATTGAAATGAAGCACATCATCTTTGGCCCACTGATCTGATTAGGACCATGTTATAGGCAGACTGTTTACACAGCAGGTCTAAAGCCTTATCTGACACAGTGTACTCAGTCAGCCCCACCAGGTTAGAAAGCCAAAGTCCACTGAGAGGCTTTACATCCAAACTAATCAGCCAAAGTCCTGACAGTGTTTGCAGGTTACTTTATAAAAAAAAGTGAAAAAGCTCGCATTAGTCTGCATGCATTTTAAAAGATTTGATTGTTTCTTATATGGACCATTATATAACTGCTATGTAATGACTGAGTCACACTTTTGAACTGTAGATTTTGAGCCTTTAGCTTCTCAATTTTGATTAATCTCTATGTATACACCATCTGAAATTAAGTGTTCATCTGAAAGTAAATTTCACTAAATTAAAAGCTGTATATAATAATGTTAAAGTGATTTTAAAAAGTATCTAATTATTTTAAACTGAACAACTTTTAAAATGTATTTTATGGTACTGGAAATCCAGTTTGACTTATTTCCCTTTCAGTTCTAGACTTTAATTTCGGATTTTTTGAGCCATACATCTGGGTCCTTGAGAAAGACCAGAATAATGAAACACATCATATCAAAATGGCGTCAGGTGTAGGAGTTTGCCCTGAAATCGAAGGGGTTGACGGTTCAAGCCCTTGAAAAAGCACTATATAAGAACAGGCCATTTACCAAAAGAAGCAAAAATCTCAGGTTTATATTGGATTAATTAAATGCATAAGTAGAATCAGGTAAAAAGATGTTACCAGCTATGTTTACATGCGGAAATTTCCCAAATCCGTTCTAGACCTTGGTTGATCGGAAATTCAGAATCTCTGTTTATTAGGACACTAAATGTTAACCTGACTCCACTAGATGGATTTGCTCCGCATATCCATCTGGAAACCTTCCGTTGAAGTAATTTTGGGAAGGGGCAAAAATACTGGTTAGCTGATTGGCCTATCACTGCATGAAAAGTGGGATTTTCGTCAATATGCGGCACTGTAGATTGTCGTGGAACTTCAGGTTAGCGGCAGTTTACGACAATTTGCAGGCTTCGCCGAAAACTCCCATAAATTGTCAGAAATTGACGTGGACTCTCTTAGGCAGTGTTCCCCCCATGCCTCCCCCCCATGGAATTCTAGGGGAGGCTTTAACATGTAAATGAACATGCTGTGAGCTATACAAATGCAAACCAGGGTTGCAGGGGGGGTTTTACCCCAAGTGACATCTTTCTGGGTAAGAAATTCTCTGAAACAAAGAGATCAGGCTTAGTATAGCCTCTTACATTTTAGCTTGAATTGATTTATTTAATTAAAGTATAGAGACCAAAACAGATCTTTAGCTGACAGAGCAATACATTTAGAGCAGTAATTATAAAAAAAAAAAATTTGCATTTAAGATAAAAAATAAAATGTTGTCTGTCAATATGCTCAATTCACAATTACTTAAGTGGAAAAGTTTCAAGAAATGAGTCTGAGATGATTTACTTTATAACATGGTGCATTATCCTGTTGGAAGTAGCCATGAGAAGATTGGTACACTGTGGTCATAAGGTCCGGCCAGGTCAAGATCCGCAATTGCAATCGCACCAAACAGGAAAAAGAACATCGACAAATTCCGGTTCGTCAAATTAAAATATAGCAGCAACAGAGCGGTGACTAGAAATTATAGCACAATTCTTATATATATATATATATATATATATATATATATATATATATATATATATATATATATCTCTGCTTCTGTCTCCTGTATCTCTGCTTCTGTCTCCTTGAACCCCAGTCGGCCTCGGCAGATGGCCGCTCACACTGAGCCTGGTTCTGCTGGAGGTTTCTTCCTGTTAAAAGGGAGGTTTTCCTCTCCACTGTCGCTACAAGCATGCTTAGTGTGGGGGATTGTATTTGAGTCAATGAGTCAATGCAATCAACTGGTTTTCCTTAGATAGAAAATTTTGTATCAATTTGACTGTATGATCTGGTTGAACTGTAAAGTGCCTTGAGATGACATGTGTTGTGAATTTGGCGCTATATAAATAAACTGAATTGAATTGAATTGAATATATATATATATATAAAAAAAAACTAACACCGTTTATTTAAATGATTGGATCCAAACTATTGGTTATTCACCAACGAGGAAGCAGATTTCTCATCTCCATCAAAATATTTATTTTATACCGAGGGACTTAAACTTTAATCAAATCCATTCAAAAGAAACTTCTTATTACAGGAATGAAAAGAGATGCTGAGTTTGGAAGTAGTGAACAAGTTCATTAAAAAAAAAGCAGTTTTGAATTATCCTTATCCCCGTTACAAAAATCTACATATATATTTGGGCAGAAACTGAACATATGCTGGATGATGGTGGGATTTTTTTAATATGTCATATTAAATTAAGCACTCACAGGGTTCATACAGGAATGAGTGACTCTAATTTAATGCTATTTTAATGCTATTTGAAATGATTTTAATGCCATCATCAAGTCACGGTACGTTTCCGACAATTTGTGGCACGACAAACGCGGACAAGCACGGGTTGCAAATTGTCGGAAACTGACGAAAATCAGGCAGATCTGCGGGAGTTTACGGGGACGAAAATCTCACTTTTCATGCAGTGTATGTTGGTGATAGACGGGCCAAATAAACCAATCAGATCAACGAAGCATATGACGTACTAACAGAGCGACCACGAAGAGGAGCCAATTGATAGATCAAACTCTTGCAGAAACCAGTCGGGAGAAGAGCAAAAACATCTTTTCCTCTGAGAAAAGCCTCCAGAGCAGTGTTTTGCTCTTCTATCAGTGAAGAAATACTCTGTAATTCCGATAAACTTGCTCGCTAGCCGCGCTAACGCTAGTCTCATCGGCTGAAGCCGCCATGTTCTTTAGACTGAACTGTCGCGCTTCTCGTTGCGTCACACCTCAACCCGCCTCAAAGCCAACGCTGATTAGACGTTCGTTTGGTGAACGGCTCCAAATTTTCTTTAACGGAAAGTAGCCAGACTGATCTGCGAGTGAAACCTTGAAAGCTCGCGAGATCAGGACGGTCTCACAAGGCTAACTCAATGTTTGCTCTTTGCATAATATAAAATAAGCTTTTTAATTAATTTAAGTTGACCTTCCACCTATACAGGATTTTAAGGATTCTTGAACATTATGAGGTTGTGATTTAGAAACAAGCAATTCCTCCCTAAACCAGAGGGTGGCAGACGTGACGACGTCCAGACACGCAAGGTTTAGCTATAGGCATAGGTGGATTAATGACCGGGCCTACCGGGCCCAGGGGGCCAGAGGCCCCAAGGGGCCAGGCCAACTTGGCCCCGCGGCCGCGACC